CCCCGCCCCCTTGCTACCTTTGTGAGAGAGGCAGCAAGGGCGGGAAGCGCCTAGTCGACGAGCGTGGCGACTCTCCGAGAAGCTTTTGCTCATCAGCCCGTTGACTATTGCTCGCATCCCTAGCAGGAGCGGACTGGGCGTAGGGACGGACTGACCGCCCGCCTGCAGGCTCATGCTAGCTCAGCTGAGAGGCCCAGGGCCCTGCGTGTTCATTTGCCCAATGCCGTGGGCAGAGACAGACCCAGCCCTCGTCTGAGGGGCAGCTCCCTCTCCCCTTCAGCCCCAGTGGCCCCCGGGCCAGGCTGTCACAATGGGCCCGTGAGTGAGAAAGAGGCGGCGGTGGGGTGGGGTGGGGTGGGGCGTAACCTCCCTTCTAGCCCCCGGAGACAGGGATGGAGCCTCCTCCCACTGGCCCAGGCACCAGCAGAACCAGCTTCCCATCTCTCCGCTCTGATCCAGCCTGGCAGAGCAGCCCCTGGGCCCACCCTTCAGGGGCAGCTGCCCAGCGTTGCTGGGGGTGCTCACCTCACTCCAGACAGCTCCCCCCAGCCCCTCCCATGGAGAGCGACGAGCAGCTCAGTTCTGTTCACCCGGGCAGCGAGGGCACAGGGAGCGATGGCCCTCGGCGGCTGGCGGGGTCCCCCGGCACAGTGCTGTACGACAGGCGGTAGTAACCTTCCAGTGTGAAAGCCCTGCCCGCTGTGGGGGGGCCACAATGCAGGCTCTGCCCTCCTCCCCGCCCCACACGCCGCCTGGCTCCGGGAGAGTCCGGCTGTCCCGGCAGGCGTGTGGCTCCTGCAGCCATGAGGGTAGATGCTGCCGCTGGTGCCTGAACTCCCGCCACGGTGAATTGTTCAGCTGTTTCCTTCCTCCTCCCATGAAATGCAGCAGCATCCTGCACATCCCAGGGGCCGGAGCTCTGCTCCTCGGGGCTCCGCTGCACGGAGCCAGGGCCTGCGCTGCAGAGCAGAGCTCCAGTACATGGTTCTAACCCTCCTGGAGTTTTTATAGCAGCAGGGGGGAGGGGGATTGCTCCAGGAAATACTGGGCCAGAATTCAGCCCCCTCTCTTCTCCAGACAGGGGGATCTGCCACCTCCAAAGACTCACATCCCCAAGCAGCTGCTGGCTGTTTATTGCACAAGAAATTGGCATCACTGATGGTTCAGTACAAAACGATCAAGGTCACCGCTCCAAAGCTCCTGCAATTTGTGTCCACGGACGCCCTTATCTACAGGTATGTACACAGGTGCGCTCACACTCAGAGGGGCACCCCCAACACCTGGGCCACAGCTGTGCTCACACCTGGGAAGGGGGAAATCCCTGGGGCAGCAGCCTAGGCCGGCAGAGGTTGTAGCAATACAGAAACAACTGGATTCTGCCTTCTCTTGCAGCAGCGTAACACCAAGGGCCTCATCTCCCCCACCCCCGTGGGACAGAAGAATCCAGCCAAGAGTTTCCCCTAGAGCCCACTGACAGGGCGAGGCTGGAGGGCTCCCGGGTTGAAAAGCTCCCTCTGCCGGTTTCAGGGGCGACAGGGCCCATTTCGCAGCCCTCGGCCACGTGGCTGCAGGAGCGAGACCGGTGCGTTTGTACAAACCAGCGGCGCCTCCAGGATCCTATTGACGCTCATCAGCACCACCCAGCCGGACACGCCGCTGAACCGTGACCCCGGACGCACAGCACGAAGCACAGGCTACGCCCCGCCCCAGCGCCGCTCCTGGGGCCGAGTTCCCAAACCCGTTCCTCTGGGCGCCTGCCCTGGCCACTTGGGGGAAAGTGCCGGGTCATGGGAACGTCGCCGAGGGGCAGGACTGCGCCCGAGGAAGCGCTTTGGCGACGGCCTCGCTGCAGCCGGAGAAGCCGCAGGGAAAAGCGACAAAACCAGCCCCCCGTTCGTTGGGCTCTAGCGCCTGATCCCGAGCTCTGCCCAGCACCAGGCCCTGGCAGGAGCCCCCGGCTGCTCAGACAGAGATGGCCACGCGGCCCTGGTGTCCGGGGCCTGCGGTGGCTGTAGCAAACAGCCATGACCCAAAGGGACACAGGGACCCTGCTAAGCGGCTCTGTGCGGATAACTGGGATGGCCGGGGATTCTCGGCTGCTCGTTGGTTCATTGGCAGCGCCCGCTGCCCCAGGGCGAGTGGAACGACTGTGCACACTTCCTCCGGGCGAGGGGGGGGCTTCACTGCTGCCCAGCTTTGGGGACACTGCAGTGTCTCAGGGCTCCTGCTGCACCGACCCCAAGGTCTGGCGCTCACACTCTGACTTTCCATTGGGTAGCGACCAGCAGTTTTGCTGGAACTGGTCCAGTGCCTGCCCCCAGGAGGGCACCACATGGAGTGGGGCCAGAGATCCAGCCTGCCCCTAGCGAGCCGCTTCACTGCCCCTCAGCAGCAGCATGCGGGCAGGCTCTGGTGCCCGTCTCGCCCCGGTAGGCCGGGGGCTGGCCGTGGGAGGGGCCCTGGCCTGTCTGCCATTGGGCTGCACGGCCCCAGCCTAGCACGAGTGACAGACAAGCTCCCGGGGAAGCAGGGAGGCAAACTGCGTGGCGACGGGCGCCTCCTGCCCGCGCTGAGCGAGCGAGCGCGCCCAGCCTGGTGCCACCTCCATCACTCCTGGCCAAAGCCCTCCGTCTCCTCAATGGCATACAGCAGCTTCTCCTTCAGCTGTTCATAGCTCTTGTAGGGAGGCAGATCCAGGCGGTTAAAGCTGGCGAGGAGAGACAGGCTGTCAGTGCAGTGCAGGGCTCCCTGGCACGCCTGCGGCAGGGCCGCCTCTCCGCTCACACAAGCTGCGGCCCCGCCCCCTGCAAAGCAAGGGGCCGCGAGGAGCTCTGTGCCCCAGGCCACCCCCCGCAGACTGCTTGGGTCCCCACCACTCCAAGAGTGAGACTCACCAGGTGTGACTCCGAGGCAACCACGTCTCTTTGCCAACCTTATCGATGCAGAACTTCTGCGGCCCGTTGCTGCCTGTCCAGCACGAACAGAACAACTCGTTACATTGCATGCCTGCGGAACTCACTGCCACAAGAGTCAGGCCCCAAGCTCAGGATCGATTTAGAAGGTAAGATTACCCACAGAGACACTAACTAGGATAAACATTTTCCTGGGCAGGTTTTACAGCTCTCATGCCAACACTACCTGCCTGGGGGTCAGGAAGAATGTCCCTGATAGGTGTGTTAGGGCATAAATGATCACAAAGAGGTTTCTTCTACCTTCTGCTGAAGCAGCTGCTACTGGCCACTGTCAGAGTCTAGACAGATCATTCATCTGGCATGCTATGGCCAAGTGGGGCAACTGGAGGTCACCAAGCCAGACTACAGAGCTGCTCTTCAAACAGTTACATATCACTCCTGCAGGATTCAGTCTCAGGGACATGCGCTGGAGGGAAATGGCCCTGGAGTTTCTAAAAATTATAGACATTTTTCTAACTCAATAAATACTGCAACCAGCTCAGGGTAATTCCACATTACACCTCACTGTGACAGCTGGAGCTTAACTGACCACTGAACAGAAATGAGTGGCTGCCCAGGTGAAACTGATTGCAAACCAATTATATCTGTGATGAGCAAACAGAATATAGTTCTGATCACTAATACATACACTTGGGCCTGAAAGCTGAAACCATTCTGAGTATAAATGATTAGGAAGAAAAATTTAAACAGTTTAACTAAAACAACAAAGGGTAATTGGGAGTTGTCTAGGAAAACATAACTAAATACCCAGCAAAACACAATTTCACAATTACAAAGGAATGCTTCCTTAATTTAAAAACATCCTGGTTAATAAGAAAAGTAAAAACAGACCTACAAATAACAGATTAATGAATGGAAAAAAAGGAGGAAGTCAAGAGCAAGGACTATAAATGAACGATGATGAAATGCAGACTATTGATAAGGGAGCCTAAAGGTATTGCTGAAAAAAATCTGTGCTGGTTGGTTTATGGACAATGAAAAGGAAGTTTTAAAAATATATCTGGACCAAGAGAAATCGCAGGTATAGCTGTTAATACACAGGGCTGGTAAAATTATCAATGATGCGGAAGAGGACGAAGTATTCAATACATTTCTGTGCTGTGTTTGGAAGGAAGCCCAATGGGATAGCCACAGTTTACAGTAATCATGGAATCTTTCTATTCTACCAGTAACAAGGGAGGATGTTAAAAAGCAACTGCTAAAGTCAAACACTGTAAACATCAAATAACTTCAATTCAAGAGTTTTAAAACAACTGGCCGAGGAACTCTATGTGCCACTGATAACACAGTTTGGAACGTTGGGGAAATGCCAGAAGACTGGGGGGGAAGCGAATGGGATGGTATTTAATAACGGGAAAGCAGATAACCTGGGTTGCGATATGCTAACTAGCTTTAGGTGGATTCCCTGAGAGTAACGAGAAGGCTGGCAAGAGACGCAATCAGGAAAGAGTTAAAGGACGGTAGCTTAATTAATGCCAACAGCCTGCGTTTACGGAAATCGGGGTTTGTCAGCCAGCACCAATCAGGTCGTTGGATGAATCACGGGGTTGGTTGCTAGAGAGAGCAGTGCTGATGGAACAGCCTTCAGCTGCCGCAAAGCATGTGGCTTAGCACAGCACATGCCTGGCCTGAAAGCGAAGAGTGCTGGGGCGGCTCCAACCTCGGCCAATCTCCCTGCCTTTGGAAAGTGCCGCGAGAGGAAAGTACCACAGCGAGCACGTTGCTCCATGCAGCTCCCCGCCCGTCTGCCCCCCAGCCTGCCGCGAGTCTCTGCCCCCTTCCTGCACATGCTGGGCAGCTGGTGGATACGCACCAATAAGCTCTGAGAAGCCTCCTACCGGCAGACGGCAGGTCCCTGTAACGAACTGTAAAAGCCGGATCCTCTTCTCGTTGTCCATCTCCTTAACCACCTGCAAGCCACAGCACCGTGGTGAGACAGGGATTCTGCTGCAGCCCCCGGTGCCCCGTGTCGCAGGCGCAGGGGTTGGGGCGGGGGCGGCACCTCTCACTCCTGCCTCAGTGGCACCATCCCAACAGGACACCGAACGCTGCAGGACCAGGGGTGTATGGGATGGGACTAGAGCCCTGAGCGAAAATCCTCGAGAAGCCTCCACCCTGCCCCTGAGGACGCGGCAGAGCAGCTGCTCCTGCTGCCCACGGCCACGTCCCGCGCTGCCCCCAGCCACGCCCCGTGCTGCCCCCCAGCCACGCCCCAGGCCACGCCCCGCACTGCCCCCAGCCACGCCCCAGGCCACGCCCCGCACTGCCCCCAGCCACGCCCCAGGCCACGCCCCGCACTGCCCCCAGCCACGCCCCAGGCCACGCCCCGCACTGCCCCCAGCCACGCCCCAGGCCACGCCCCGCACTGCCCCCAGCCACGCCCCAGGCCACGCCCCGCACTGCCCCCAGCCACGCCCCAGGCCACGCCCCACGCTGCCGCAGCAGAGGGCTAGTTCGCTCCCTTCTGTCCTGACCACTCCCAGCAGACGTCACCATCTCCCAGCCCACCTCCCCCCGAGCTGCAGCTGCTGCCCCCCGAGTGCCGCCCACTGCTGGCTCTGTGCTGGAGACAGGCTCTGGCACCGGCTCACCTGCCAGAACCACTGGATCTGCTTGCTGTTCTTGGTGTAGTGCCGGTAGATGGTGTTCTTCTGCCAGTCGCTCATGTCCATCTCCTGCATGCCGCACAGCATCAGCTGGGGAGCCAGGGGAGAGGTCAGCAGCCACGCCACCCTCTGCCCTGCCCACAGGCCCACGGGGGCCATGGCTGGCCACCTGGTCCCGCC